TACCAGTCATCGTTCGTGATTACCACCAGTCATAATTTGTCATTGCGATGTTATTACCAGTCATCTTTCGTGAATACGAGTTTATCATCAGTAATTGCGAGTTTATCACCAGTCATTTTTCGTGAATATGAATTTACCATTAGTTTTCCTGCTTTAATGTACGCCATAAAAATCATATTTTGAAGAAAAAAAATAATTATAAATTTTAACAAACTTTACCAAAATTAGTTTGCAGACTATGTTTCTATATTAAGATCAGAAATATAATGATATCATTCCATTTGATATATTCTTTTTTATTGTATATTATGCTAAGTCTTGGATGGGATATTGGCGACCACGCATTGCAAAGAGTGTACCTATTCCAAGAAGCAACTTCCGCATTTTAAACCCAGAGCTTGTTAGACACACTGCATTTGATCTAGTGAAATTTCCTACACATGGTGGAAGGAATTACAAGGCAAGTGTGCTTTAATAACGTTGCATCTCTATACACACATGAAAGTATCTTTGTGGGAAGCGCTGGAGATGCAGTTTCTGTCTTGAACTGCTAGATAATGATGCCTCCCCGAGTCTGTGATACACACTCAGACAAGAATTGCACTTTGTCAGTTTTACGGTTCAAAATTAGCTTAACATTCAGTACAATACTTGTCATGATTTTATAGATCTATGCTCACTGTATTGTAGATTTCCTCACATGTTCATAGAAATAATAATAAAGTTTTAATACACTGTAATTAAATTACAAATTAATTTTTGGCTGAAAGTAATAAAAGGAATGGTAAGTAAAAATCAGAACGTTAAATAATATAAGATCAGGCAGTTTCAGATACCGTGTCACGTCTAATTAGTTTTGGATGGCTATTAGTAATAAGGATAATGAACTTATTGTTTTCAGACTGGAAAGTAGGGATTTCTTTGGTAAATTCAGTATACATAGTATCCCTTTTATCAGTGTAGTAGCTACAGTCTGTAATGAAATGAACATCATCTTTAATACTGTCACTCAAAAAAACAATATTCATAAGATTGTGACTGTAATTAGGCAAGTCTCTGGGGTCTAATCTGTGAACAGATTACAATATTTGTGCACAGATTAACCCATGGGGAAAGGTCACAAGAATGGATGCTCCTGAAGGAAACCATGGAAACAAGCACTAACAAATTACATACGCATCTTATTTATTAATTAATAATAGGTAAAAAATTCTCCATTTGTAGAATGTTCCAACAATGGGCGCCATTTCAATTGTAGCTGCACTCAGTGTATGTGATATGGTATCCGTCGCCGGGTTCGGTTACGATCCAAATAGACCAGATTCCAGAGTACATTATTATGAAGATATGAAGATGGATACAGCATTTGTGTTATCAACCCATGATATTTATGGTGAAAAACAATTCTTGCGAGACTTAGTGAAATATGGTATTATCAAGGACCTGACAGGGGGAATAATGAAGTAGCTACAGATATGGTATTATCAAAGGACCCGGCTTAAAAGAATACTTTAGGAGATAATCTTATGTTGTACTTTTAATATTTACCTTCCTATGAAGAAATAGTGTTTCAGATAATACTATAGAACA